CTTAGCGGAAGGCGCCGGTGTCTCTGGCGTGACGGGGCTCGGAGTGGTAAGATCAAAGCCGAGGTCGGGTATCATCGTCGGTGAGGATGTTGTTTCGGGCGCGGGGGTTGTCCCCGGGCAAGGCTCGCAGGAAGAGCAGTCGCCGCAGCCCCTGCAGATCTGTCCCAGGCCGAAGTCTGGGTGGAGCGGACGGGGATGGGGCGGTGAAGCACGGAGGGCGGGGGGGCGTACTTGTTAGACGGCGTTTTTTTGTTGCCTGTCGGCGACGCCAAAAACCTGTTTTGGCACTTTGGTTCTACCGTAAGACTACTCAAAACGTCCGAATGGGCACGTTGCAACCATCGGAAGACGGGGAACTACTGAGTAGCCCCCTGTCAGGTGCTTTCAGCTAAAGCAACACCAACGCTGGGTGAGACATAGGACAGTCTTGGATTGGAAAGCAGCCCCAAAAGAAAGCACTGAACGTCGCGAAAGTTGATGAGAAGATCGGTATTGGCTGGCAGGGAAAGGGTGGTTGGGATTGTGGGACACCGGAAACGGCTCACACAACAAGCAATGGGATAACCGGAAACTTCAAAATCGCGTCGAGAGCACTCTCGCTCACTTGCAACTGCTTGCACTCGCAGCACCCTCTTTGAAAATGGTTTTCTGTCTGCCCTTGATCCTCTCTCTGTGTGTGTATCGTCTGACTACACGGCGGTCTCTTTGTTGTTCTAGTGCGCCACTGTCAGTGCATCGCGCTGCTCTGCTTCTGGCCCCCTTGACCTGCGATTTTCACGGCCGAGACCCACACTCTAGCTGGCGGTGCCGCAAATTTCAGTATCACTCCGAAAACCCCCGACTCACAGTTGCAGTGCAGAGGGTCGGTGACGCCGTCCAAGCAGGTGGGGTCGCACACCACCTGCTTCCCGCCGTTGTCGTAGCTGGCCAGAATCGCTACTTGCTCGTCTGTCAGGTTCGAGCAGACGGAGCACTCGTCGTCGTCGACAGCACCGTCGGCTCCGAGCGGCATCATCGTCGGCGAGGGAGTAGGCACTTCGGGCTCGGTCGTCTCGGCAACGGTCGGCGGTGTGGTCTCCGGCGTCTCGGGGGAGGGCGTCTGCTTCACAGGCTTAGCGGAAGGCGCCGGTGTCTCGGGCGTGACGGGGCTCGGAGTGGTAAGATCAAAGCCGAGGTCGGGCTCCATCGTCGGCGAGGGGGTAGTCGCTTTGGGCGCAGGGGTCTCGGCAACAGTTGGTGGTGCGGTCTCCGGCGTATCGGGCGAGGGCGTGCGCTTCACCGCCTTAACGGAAGGTGCGGGTGTCTCTGGCGTGACGGGGCTCGGAGTGGAAGGGTCAGAGGTGGGGTCGGGCACCACCGTCGGCGAGAGGGTGCTCGCTTTGGGCGCAGGCGTCTCGGCAACGGTCGGCGGTGCGGTCTCCGGCGTCTCGGGCGACGGCGTGGACTTCACCGGCGCGGGTGTCTCCGGCGTGATGGGGCTCGGAGTGGAAAGACTATCAAAGCCGAGTGGTGCCGGTGAGGGTGTGGGTACGACTGGCCAAGGCGTTGCGTCCGGGCAAGGCTGGCACCACCCGTCATCGCACTCTCCGCAGCCGCGGCAAATCTGTCCCAGGCCAAAGTCTGCAAGGATTGGGGGTCGAAATGCATCCGTACGGCAAAAGATAGAGTCACTCATGAGTCGAAGGTACATTCCGGAGGCTTGGAGCGGTGCAATGTGTTTTGCAGCCGTAACCCCATACCCAGTCCCATGCGCCTAATGAAGCCTAACTTCCTACGCAGATATCGTAGCATGTAAGGGGAGGCACTGTTTTCTCCAGGTATATACATACCAACTCATATAAGCAAGTTATTCTTGTGGTGGAGGGTGGATGGATGAAGCAGGGCACTTTGTCTAGCCGTTTTACCGATAAATAGTACGACAACGTGTACCAATGGTGTGCGTTATTCAATCAGATCCTCCTTGGAGTGCCGCGGGAGAATGAAGCTTCTTGACCGAGGGTTTAGTAAAGGGGTGGTTGCGATAATAGGCCTATTCTCTGTCGCGTCTCCTACTGCTTCTACTGTTTTACTAATTATTTCATTGGTCGTCGCTGCCTACGCTGAAAAAAACGTGGGCCCACGAGAACCATGCAAAAATGTGCATGCCCTGGTCTAATCAGTCACACTACGGCACGCTCAAGCGAGGTACTGACGGTACACTGGCGAATCAGTTCACAAATCTAGCTCCACCCCGAAAGTAACGTGAGGCGCCACTTCTCTGCTCGTATAGTAAAAGCAAGCAGTAGGTCGTCCTCACTCACAGTTGCAGTGAAGGACGTCGGTGGCTTCGCCCACGCAGGCGGGGTCACACACGATCTGCTTCACACCCTTGTCGTCGTTGACCAGGGCCTCGGCATCCTCTGACGATACCTCCGAGCATACGGAGCAGTCGTACTGATCTTCGTCCAAGGCAAGCCCAGGGACGGATGGGGCCGGCGTGCTGCCGACAGGGGCCGTTGTTGGTGGAGTAGTCTCAGGGGTCTCTGTTGCGGGAGGCGGGGATGGTTTGGTCGTCGTCGTCGGTGACGGTGTGGCCACGTCGACAGGGGTCGTCGTCGGTGGAGTGGTCTCAGGGGTCTCCGTAACGGGGGCCGGGGAAGGTTCGGGTGTCGTCGTCGGGGATGGCATGGCTAGGTCGGGGGTAAGCGCCGTGGCGGTGGTCGGCGACGGAGTCTCTGGCGAAGGCGTGTCCTTCACTGGCGCAGAGGAAGGCGCTGGCGTCTCGGGGCTCGGAGTCTCGGGGAGGTCGCCCTGGGGCTCTGTCGGTGACGGTGTTGCTACGATGGGCGTAAGGGTTGCGGCAATAGTCGGCGCTGGGGTCACGGGCGCGGGAGTGTCCTTCACTGCCGCGGAGGAAGGCGCCGGCGTCACGGGGCTTGGAGTCTCGCGATCGTCCAGATCCATCCCGAAGGTCGGCGACGGTGTGCTTTCATCCGGGCAAGGCTGGCAGTAGTCGTTGTCGCATTCTCCACAGCCGCGGCAGATCTGTCCGAGGCCGAAGTCTACAGGGGGGTGGACGAAAGGCGATGGAAAGGGGGGCGAAAGGATTTGTTGGGGGAGGTCGGTACGAAAGTCTATGCTGCGAAAGCTGAGTCTTCAAATGAGAGGACCCGTTACTGTCGAAAGTCATGACGGTAGCTAGATAAGGGGAGGTGGGGGCGTAAAGATTTCTTGCGGAAAGTCGGGACGGAAGTCTTTGCGATGAAAGCCGAGTTTCAATGAGAGGGCCCGTTACTGTCAAACGGCTTGGCGGCAGAGGAACGTACAGGTTGATATTTTCGACCACTAGACTACCGACCCGTCTGTTGAGCAGGGCATGACACCGAACATGCATGTAACGGAAATACCTGATCATTGGGTTTGCCTACACTCTCTCCTGCTCTCTACCTCGCTTGCATCAATTCAAAAGAGCGCTAGATTCTAGTGTTTGGGGACATGGTGCAGCTTGAGGACTGCCTAGGCATTGCCATGGAGGAGTACTCCTCTTTAGTCTACACTCTAATCTGAAGGGTTAGCAGATGTTGTTGATGGTGCTCAAGACTAATGACTGACCACCCAAACAATGGTTCGGATAGATCCTTACCATAACCCCAACCACAAATGAGCCGATTCTACACGTTTTCCAGGAAGGTTGCGTAGAACAACCTACGTAGACTACAGCAGCATTGGAAACAAGACTATTGGTGGATTGCCCAAGCAATGGTTCGGAGGCATGTCGAAACGCCAATGAAAGATGAAAACGTCGTTATTGTTCCCACTCACAGTTACAGTGAGTGTTGTCGGCGCCGTCGACCAGGCAGGTCGCGTCGCACACGATCCGCTTCACGCCGTGGGTGCCCGTGATGAGGGCCTCGGCGTCAGCGGACGACAGGTTCGAGCAAACAGAGCAGTCGTCTTCATCATCATCAGCACCGTCCTCGTCGAGATTCACCTCTACCTCTGACGGAGATGCTGCGTTCATCTTGGTCGGGGAGGGGGTGGACTCGTCAGCCGCAGTCGCCGCCGTAGTACCCTTGTCTTCCTCTACGTCCTCGGGCGCTACTGTCGGTGCCGGCGTGACGTCGTCAGCGATGCCGTCATCGTCTTCGTCAGAGGTGGCGGGAGTTTCGCTTGCGTCGACCGTCTCGGTCGGAGAAGGGGTAGTCCCGCGGAGCTTGCGCCCGAACGAGATAGCAGCGGCGGACCTGGACAAGACGAAAATTCGGGGCCCGACCGGGAGCCGGGAAGCAGGAGCAGGGTTAAGACTTAGTGGGGGGAGGAATCGTATGGCACAAAACAGCTGCTGATTCCGCCCAAGGCGAAGCACAAACAAACACAGGCACACGCTCAGCTACTACGTAGTCTCGTAGTGGATAGCCTCTCGTTTGATGTCAGGGCGGAGTGGATGTCATGTATTTCTATCGGTGCGTTTTGTGTTCGAGACTTGAGTGTCGTTTACAAAAAGCCCTCTAGATTATGTGCATGTCTGGTTTTCGCTTGAGTATGTCGTTGGGGCTATCTACAAGCGACGAACGGCAATGATAGACTCATTCTTGGAAGGCAAACGGTCGTCAAGAATCGATGGCATCCTCTGGACGTGTATATAGTGGAGGCTATAATCGCGGACAAAAGCAAGCGTGACGGGTACCGATCACACTGCTGTACTCAAGAAGCTGGACGTTTCCCACCATCAAAAGGGGCCGACCACGTGATTGTTTATTCCAGAGCCATTCGGTTTTCGTCAACCACGTTGAGGGAACGCCCGGTACGGGCAGTTTGCATACGAGAGAGGGTCTAGCGAAGAAGTGTTACGCCAGCGAACTTTGAACGCACGGGAACGCCAAAGAACGTTTCCAAAAAAACTACCGTAATAGACTGTATGTAGATTTTCGTTTCGGGGGCGTGTCCTAGAAATTGTAGAGGACATCTGAACGAACCAAGCACAATACACACGGGCAGAACTGTCTTGAAGCTATGCCAAGTTTTGTGAATTGGCGTGTGCTGGCGTGGGGCAGTGACCGAATATTGAGGGCACCGTCACATTTCACTATGGAACTAACGTCTTGGTGGGAATGATGAGAAGAGAGGTAAGAGAAACAACTTGTGGCACAGCCAGCACGAACAAAAACAAAAACACGCCACACTCCAACTGCAAAGAGCTCCGCTAGTTTCGATAGGCTGTGCTTGGGTGGTGGCGAGAAGCCTACCAACGGATAGTGATTGAGAAATATCTGTTCGCCTCGTTTCAGCTTTGCAGCAGTTCGCATCAACGGTCTAGCAGTACGCAAGAGTCCCGATACTCGCGGCACAGACCACCAGAACATGGGAGAGTGAAGCGGCGGGGACGGCCGGGTGGGGTGGGGGGTTCAAGATAACTCGAACCGTCGCCAAAAAGACCTGCACGGGAACAGAGATAGAGAGAGAGCGGAACGAGAGTCAGAGTTTCCCGGCGCTGGTGCTGCCCTTACCGGTTGGCGTCGTTGCACTCAGGAACAGTCCAGGGGCCTCGAAGAGAGCCGCCGGATGCGAGGATAGCTTCGCCATCGGCGAGTCCGGTAGTGTCGAGGATAACGGACAACTCCAGGTGGTCTTCGGCGAGGAATGTTACCTGAAGTTTTTCACGACAGGGAGCATAGACCGAGGAAGGACATAGCATCAAGGGAAGGGGTCTTCTGTGCTTGATGACATTATGGTGAAGAATGTGAGAGTCAAGGAATTATGCAAGAACCCTAAAATGGTGTCACGCACGGTTTGGTCTCTGACGGAGGCCAGTTCTTCTGGCCGCGCGAGGGGGGGGTACGGGGTACTGATACAAAGTTGGCGTAAAATCCAGAGTGGATATTGTAACAGGGTACGATTGCGGTTCGAGAAGGGCGTGTAATGGAGAGCAAAAAAAGCAAAGCATGGGTGTACGCGGCCGGACAGCAGCAACAATACCATGGTCACCTTATTGTTGTCAACCTCGCCACCTTCGCGTAGCAGGTGGAAGGCCGAGATAACCGGCGCGTTGAACTCTAAGCTGACGGGTTGTCCAGGGGTGTTGCAGGGTCCTGAGTCGTCGGCGTTCACACGCAAATGCGTGGCGAGTAGGAGGACAGCGAGCTCGTCAAGGTTGAGCAGGTTGCATGTTTTAATGTTGGGGCAATGGGAGTCAGGGAGTGGTTTTGAAGTAAAAAACATACATACTTATTAGGAAAAAACCTGTTGAGAAATATTCTTTGAATATTATTGCTGACGATAGAGGAAGTGTGGCCAGATTTAGTCACAGGATGCACGCATAATTTGTTGTCAATCTGACGACTGTAGTCAACGATCCTAATGTTCCGTCCTATATGATTTGTTGTTGCTGCTGTTTTCCTCGCAGCACAGAGAGAACGTGCCGATCCCTGTTTTTCTCGTACTCTGATCAATCGTATCTCCAGATTATTGAATAAAAATCGGTAGTCTCGATTGAGGTAATCTCACGTATAGTATATTTGCTTCACAGACAAATCCGGATGTACTTATTTTTTGTCATTGTCGCGAAGGACGCGAACACGAGGAAAATCAAAAGCGGGCTATTTATTCTTCAGCACGTTGTTGTTGTGCGTTGGCCGTTCAAAAAAATAACTCTTCATTTTTTCAACACGCCGCACCTGCCGTACCACTGGAGCCCTGTCGGCGGCGGGGAGTTTTTCGTCGAGCCACCCGCAAGAAGTCAATTTGTGCATCAAGTTTGCGGCGGAGAACGAGAATAAGGTATTGAATTGGCAAGAAGGTCCGCGATCAGGACGCCGTTCCACAAAACTCGAAAAGAACAGTAATACGATCGATGGCTCTGTACTTCTGAGTGCTGAGTACATGTACATGTAGATAGGCGGAGGGTGCACTAAAGTGTCCTAGTAGTCTTACGATGGTAAGAGTTGCACCATCAGCAGTGCAACCAACCGTGTAGTAGTCTCCATTGGGCGAGGTGCAACCAAGGCTGGCATGTCAGCTCAGGTAGACATGCGACGGCCGTGGTGCGGGTACGCTGCCTTCGACGGGTACGCAGAAGAAAGTAGACTGTATCCTGCATCGATGAAGCTGGATCCTGCATCACGTACTACAATGTCTTTCTGACCCATCGCTTCTACACCACGTTTGCCCTCTCATTCTGCTGGATCCAGAGGCAAGAAGCAGCAGCAGCAGCAACTGACAAGCGCACCGAAGGCGATTCAATGGTGGATGCTCACCTGTGCCATGGTGAACGCAAACCTCGTCAATTTCTCGTGCCAAGATGAATCGCAGGTCGACGAGATGGCAAAGTCCTCCATCTGGAGGCACGATCCTCGGATACCACCGGAGGATGCCCGTATGCTATTGGACCAACCCGCTACGGCCGGTACAGCCATCGCCAAGACAATTGTCCGCATAACGCCGGTGGGCTCTCCCTTGTAGACGATGTGTTGTTCTTGTGTAGGGGTTGTTGGATGTGTAGGTGTGAGTGAGAGATGGGGAAGCCCAACTTTGATTACGTTTACAACATGATGGCAGGTAGTTGTGGTGGCAGCACTCTGTAATATCGTTTTACAAAAGTCAGAATATCCCGGCAAGCAAATAACCTAACACACGCTGTTTACCGTTCGAAGTTTATTAATCACCTTGTGGCAGACACAAGAAATACTGCTGTATGGGGGAAGAGATTCTCAGATCCGATCTATCTTTGTCTGTGAGAGGGGGCCGACGGGTATTTTTCGGATAAATAGATGATTGGTTGATCGGGTGGCATCGCAGTATGTATGCAGTATGCAGTCTGCGCGCTCAGAATAGTCCAAAATACTCCGTGCCATACACAGACAATGAGACAAAATGGCAATCATGACTGTACGTTTTACACCTCGATTGCTCCGAGGTAGACACATGCATATACCATCTACTCTGTTGAACTAAATACGTGCTGTATA